AAGTACCTGGAGAGTGAAGGATTTTCTACCTGGAAAGGCACAGTAAACCAGGATGTTTTTCAGTAATATTCTAAGGAGGTTTAAGTTTTGGAATTCACTTGGGATTTCCAACAAACAGGAAGAGATGAGACTGGCTTCTGAAATTCTGCTTCTCCCTTTACAAATGGAGTACATGAAAGCTGGATTTGAATAGCATTTCAGTTTTGGTGGGGCATGTTGAAAGGTGGAATTGCATCTTTTTCTCTGGGGCTTGTGTTCCTGTGGGAAAAGTGAGCTCAGCCTAAGGCAGCAGGAGAGATCTCCCCTCTAGGGCTAAAGCAGCCTGTGGTGGCCAGGAAGGGGAAGGAAAAAGCAGTAACATGTCAATCCTGTAAATAAGTACAGCTAGAGTGAGGGTAAAATTCTCTATTCTTTATTCTTTACCTTCCTTCAGAAGAGAAATCAATCTTGTGTTTTATTTGTTGTAATGAGAAATAATTATGTTTCAGACACAGTGATAGACTCCTTCCCAAATAAACTGATGGAAACAGCAGACAGTGAGCTCTCCCTGGTTGATACTGGCTTTTTCATTAATACCAGCTACCCACCACTTTTGAGATCAAAGAGGGAGGTCGACGTCATCCTGCATTTGAATTACAGTGGAGGGTCCCAAACACTGGTAAGAAAAGCCATGGTATCTGAGATCTTTTTCCTTCATGGTCTTTTAGTCTCTAATGCTCATCTACAAACTGGAATGAGAATTATATTATTATTATTATTATCTAATTTATTATTTAGATCATTAGGTAATTGATTTCTCAGTAACTAAGAAGGATATTAGATGATGATGGATGTAGGCATTTTAAAATCATCAAGGTCTTCACTGAAGTGAATCCAATAGTTTTTTAAAAATTGATGGATTATGTTTTGGATTATATTCTGGATTGTATTATAAAATGATGCAGTGTTCTGAAACTCTGATTTTGGTTATCCTTGTACTCAACAAATTACAAAGGCAATGGAAAGTCCTGACAATATTTTAACAGACTAGATGAGAAAACTTGTCTTGGCCTTCTTATCTTATACCAATCTTAGTGAAACTAAGTGTGGTTATGATTGTTCCCATCTGAAATTTAACATCTTGCCAGAGAAAGATTCAAACCTTGGGATATTCCTGTTAGCTGCTGCAGTTTAACATATCCAGGTCCCTGGATCAGTTTTGATTGTAATAATTTTATATATATCTTTTTTCATTCCTCCAGCCTCTGGATCAGATTGCGAAGTACTTCTCAGAGCAAGAAATTCCATTTCCCAAAATTGAGATAAGTGAGGAAGACAGGGAAAACTTAAAGGAGTGCTATGTGTTTGAAGAGGCTGACAGTCCACAAGCTCCAACAGTACTTTTTTTTCCCCTAGTAAATGACACCTTCAAGAAATACAAAGCTCCTGGTGAGTCATTTGTGACAGCAATTTTAATAAAAAGTTGTTTTCCTAGTGAATCCTTTCCATTTCATACCTAGTGTCTGTCATCTCTGACCTTTCCAATGCCAGCATGGGTGTCATCACTGACAAAAATAACTGGTTGGTCTCAGTACGTCTGAACTATATGAAATCCAGAATCTTTCTTAAAGCACTTGAGATGAATACAGGAACTTATTTCACAAGAACTATTAGAGATATTATGAATGCAAGAATTCCAGTACTTGTACACTATGAGGGGTGCATTCTCAACACAAGACGTTTTACTCTACAGACATGGACTTGTCATGTACTGCTGCTTGCAGACAAAGACAAGGAAAAACCTTCTTCTGGTTTTGGTGTGAAGCCCATTTATTCAAGATTTTTTCACATATTTTAAAGTAATCTCCCAGACTGACTTGGGTGGACAGAGATCTTTGGTTTTAATTGAATGATGTCCTCTGTCTGAGTGCAATAATTTCTCCTGAACTTTCAGTGAGGTGGCTATTATTTTATCTAGTGCAAGAGTGTCTGGTTTCCTTTTTGCTTGTGCTTTCCTAGTTTGGGTAAAAAAGACTGCAATTCCAGCAGTGGTCTAGCATTGCTGCTGCTAATGTTATTCTAGCTTCAAGCTCTTTGAGTGACGTAAATATCAAATGATGTAAAATCATATTTGGACAGAGGCTTGATCCAGATGCTGAAGAATACAGTGCTACTAGCACAGTACTTTTACTTCCCTCTGGCAAATTATAACTTTCCTTTCAAGACTCCCTTTTCTACCTATAATTATGTGAATACTGATAGGAGCCACATACTGCAATAAAACCTTATTGGTGCATCTCTCTGTGGTTTGTCCCCTTAGGTGTGGAAAGGAGTCCTGAAGAGATGGCTGAAGGCAAAGTTGATGTCTCCACCATCCTCTCCCCATTTACAACAAGAGAGGTGTGTTTCAGTGAAGAGAATTTTGACAAACTGGTGAAACTGACTGATTACAATATCCTGAACAACGAGAAGTTGATTATTCAGGCCTTGCGCTTGGCGGTGGCACGGAGGAAGCAGCGGAATTATTAGCCACCACACACTAGCTTCCATCTTTCATGTGATATTTCTTGGGTTGTCCATGGTTTGGTGAGGTCAAGATGTTTGATTCTTATCAGTGATATTTGCAGTGGAAATCACATCATCCTAAGGACATTCTGGACTCCACCCTATTTATATAGCTCTTCAGACAGATTGGAATTTACCAGTGGTTTAATCCAAAAGAAACTTCAAAGCAGCAAATTCGTTTTTAGTTTTGTTACCAAGTTACTTTACTAACTGTTATATATATTCAATATAAATTGTTATAATGTTATGGAAGATAATAATGAATTATGTGACACATTAAAATTTGTATCAAAATAGTATTTATATGGTGTGTTTTCTGTGTGGCAGAACAACCATCCCTTGAACTGCAATCTCTTTGGTAAATAACTAATCCATTATTCATAGTCTTGCTTATTTAATTATTGAAGGTTGTCATCTCTGATTTGATTGTCCACTATGAGATTTTTATTTAACTGTCTTCACAAGTCTTTGAAAATAAGTTTCTGAAGTTAGTATCAGTGTTGTTAAAACTTATACACTTTTCACCATCAATAAAAAATTACCCCGATCATCTTTGTTTCAGGAGATCAAACATGTCCTCTCTGAGCTGCTGTTCCCAGAACTACTTCTATTCAGCCTAAGTAGTAGAGTGTTAGCCAACTAGCCAAATTTTTTCTTGGATTTTCTGCTGACTGTCCTGTCTCACTCACCTTTACCTGCCTTTACTGTTCCTGAAGGATGACCTTGTGACTTCTCCCAGTGTTTCATAAGATGTGAAGTGGCTGCTAGCCGTTTGCAAAGAATAGGGCAATGCAAGAGACCCTTTTGGGATCCTTTCCAGACACACCTTTCACACCTCTTCAACACTTACAGCGAATGATCTTTGCAGGGATTATTCTGAGATACTGGTTTCTCATTATCAAAAATCCTACAGGTCTTCTAGGGGACAGTAATTGCCAAAGATTCCACTCACAACTCTCCAACAGGCAGATCACAAGCTCAGTCTTTCACAACATTGGCCTTGTACTGTGGAGCTGTGATTCATGAAGAGATTAGTCACAGGAGCTCAGAAAATGTTTTGGATTATCTTCCTTTTATTAATAAAAACTCCCACTGTTGCAAGGAAATTCAGACAGACACCAGAGCAGAGTTAGGGTTGAGATAGGATAGTCTTGACCATCATCACAAGTGACAAATTCTTTTGTATGGAATGGAGTTCTAGGTAATGGATGGTAGAAAAGGATTCTTTGATTTTTTTCCTAAAAAAATAACCTGCTGATGTGGCATCTAAGAGCAGTTTGGGTGGAGGAGGAGAAGGAGTGGGCAATGTTTTTCACTAATGAGCACGTTCATTGTGTTCATATACCCGAAACTCTCAAAAGAGCATGGTGTAACTCTGTTTTCACTTACAATATTGTATGTTTAAATCTAGATTATTGTCCCTCCATGTGTGAAGCAGCTGTAATTGTGGTTCTGCTTCAATACACTTGAATAGTTAGTTCATTGGATGCTTCTGGGTCCTTTCTACAGATATCTTCGTCATGATTTCCTAGACCTTTTTGCTGGGAATGAAACAGAGTAGGATGGAAGATGTTTCAATCTGTTTTACATGGGAAACTTGCTCAACAATAGGATGGAGAAAAGACAGGTAGGTTCAATAATATGCAGCCTCAGACTAATTAATGCTGCTTTTCTTTGTGTCCTGCTGGCTGACATGTAACCTATCTTTCCCTCTCTGAGAGTTCCTACTACTCTCAAGCTCTTCAGCTTCCCCAGTGTTTCAATATTGTCTTTCTGAAACAGAGTACCACTAGTGATTGTTTTATATATATATATTATTTTTTTAGTGTCATGATATTTAAAATGACTGATAAAAACATGCAGGCTTGTAGCTGAGGTTTTATTGCCATTTCTCTAGGAATATTTTCCTTTAGGTTACCTTCCTTTGACTACTGCTTCTTGTGATCTGATTCTTAATGAGTTCAAAATTTGTCTGGGTGACATTTGTTGGATCTAGTTCTTAGCTTAGAATGTCCTAAAGTGCCAAATATTTCAGGAAATTAAAATTATGTCATTGAAGTTACCTTTATCAATGGGTTCTCAATTCATTGCAAAGTGAAATTAGATTATTTTGAAATTGATTAATCTGTTATTTTTTATAATAGCAAGGATGATTTTAAAAACATAAAACCAAAACCCAAATTCCCATTTTTTTTACTTCTTGTTCAGTCATTTTTTGTACTCAATGAGGCAGGGACCACCTCACATGCTGTATAGTGTCCTGTGCAGTGAAGTCTTATAAATGTGAAGACATCAAGAGTATGTGAGAACATGAGGAGTAATTAATATTGATTTCAACATTAATTTCACTCTCCCAAATATATCCTCTTAGAGGTTGCTCACTGAAATATTTTAATTCAGATGCGCAAAGTAACAAATTTTTTGAGCAAGCGAGCAAGCTTTTAAAGTTTTTTCTTCACAAGGTTCAACAGGTGACTTGGGAATTATTTCATGCAATATTTGTCACTGCAGTATCTGCTTGGCTGAAAGACAATTTACTGCCTGAATAGAGCAAAATGGAAGGTGAGATGGGGATAACAACCTTTCTGGAAGGTGAGATGGGGATAACAACCTTTCTTTCAGATGTGTCTTTAAGCAAAGAACACAGTCTCCCTAAAAGCAAAGGAAGTTGTAAAAAGGCTTTTGTATGCACGTTGGTCTGTTTGGATGTCCTGGGCAGCCAGATGGTCCCTGGATGTTGCCAGTCACCTCCCCAAAAGGGACTGCAGTTTGACAGCTCACCTGTAGGCAAGAGCATTGCGGCTCCTTCAAAAAGTGATGAGGGCGCTTAAAAGTGTAAAACATTTGTTCAGTGCCTATAACCTTGCAGGGAAGATCACTTTTCAGTCTTTGTTTCCCTCTAACTACAAGTGTGGAGACCATCCTTCTGCAGTGCCAGAGCCAGGTGCTTTGGTGCAGGTGTGCAGCAGTGCTCAGCTCCCGGGCAGAGAGAGGAAGAAGAGGAGGAGGAGCTGGGGATTGCTCAAGTGGTGGTGGCGGGGTGAGGCTGAGCTGAGTCAGGCACTCACACACCTGCCTGCGGGCTCCTGGCCGCTTAAAGCACAAGGAGCTGCCTGCCTGAGACTCCTTCAGACACATCCACTACCGCGTTTCACACCTGGCTCAGACGGGGAAAAGACCACGATGGGGCTGTTCTACAGCAAGAGCCAGGTAAGGAGATACAAGAGGAGGCTCTGCAATGAGCTGAGCTTGCTGCCCTTGGGGGCAGAGGGGACCTGCTGTGGGATGGGATGTTTCACCTCTTGTATCTTCAGCTCAGAGAATTACCCTGAGCACCGAGGCTGAGAGCAAAGCAAGATTTCTTTCAGACTGGGTTTTGTGCTTTGGCCTTCAGAAATGCAAAAACCTCAATGATGTAGTAATTTTCTATTTTGAAAATTCCCAATTAATAAAGAAAAGTTACCTTTTTGCTTCCACCCAGCTGGGCTAGTCAAAACAAAACACTGAGGAAAAATAAGGAGTTATCACTAATGCCAATGAATGCATAGGGAAAGTAAGGAAACTAATATTACATGAGATGTTAAATACAGCTCTCTTAAAAATTGTGGCAGTTTTGGGGCATAAAGGAATGAATGGTAATGTACTGTTATATACTCATCTATGTATTTGTTGCAGTGATACTCCCTGCTCTGTCAGCAGTATGCATGAACTGTCTCTCATGTTTGTTGCATCACTACTCAGTTTTTTTCTTTCCTCTTGGTTTTTGGTGTGGTTTTGTTGGAGGTTTTTTGGGGCTGGTTTTCCTGTTGTTGGTGGGATTTTTGGTGGGGTGTTGTTGCTTTATTGGGTTTGTTTGTTTGGCTGGTTTGGTTTTCGTTGTAATTTAGAGCACTAAGTTTATATTTTTCCTCTTTTTAGTCCTTCAAGAAGGACATTATGTAGGGGGAGAAAAGTACCTCAATGTCAGCCCCTACATATTAAGTACCACATTTTTCTGATCCTTGTTTAAGATGAAAGGATGACATTCAAAGTTGTTTCCTTGTGAGTTTGTTAAATGTCTTTTAGGTTTAGGTGGATTTCCAAAATCATAAAAAGGCTTGGGTTGGAAGGAACCTTAAAAATCATCTAGCTCCAACCCCACCCCCAGGGGCAGGGATATCACCCACTATCCCAGGTTGCCCAAGGCCCCATCCAACCTGCCCTTGAACACTTACAGGGATGGGGCATCCACAATTCCTCTGGGCAACGTGTTCTAGTGCCTCAGCACCCTCTGAGTAAAAAAATTTTTTCTAATATCTGATCTAAATATCTTCTTTTTTAGTTTAAAATTGTTCCCTCTCTTCCTATAACTAGCTGTGTAAAAAGTTAGTCTTTTGTTTAAAAGCCACCTTTAAGTACTGGAAAGTGGCAAATATTTCCTTTGATACATTCCTGAGAGTTTTTCTTAAAGGAAGATTGATTTATTCACAGAGCTGAATTATTCACAGAGAAGTAATTAGAATTGTGCCTTTCACTCACTCCTCCAGAGAAGTTTGGGATAGGTCTCTGGAAGGCCCTTTCCAGGTCCTCATTTTTTAAAAGCCAGCACTGCTCTATATCAGACATAAGACTGTAATTATGTAGCTATAAATCAGCTGATGAGCAGCATCATTACACCATGATATCGTTACTCATTCCTGCCCTGCTAGATTGTTTGCTGTTTGTTGTGAAATATATTGGATATATATGACATCCTGTGAATTTTCTCAGACCAAGATGTGTGTCAGCTGTATTAATAGCAAAGAAAGGCTCTCTATCACATCTTTTTATGAGATTGGGTTCTAAGAGTCAGATAGCTCAAGCTGAAGGTTACCACAAGTGTCCTCAGAATGGAAAATGGAGGATGTCAGAAGCCTGGTCTGTGGTCACACCAGGTTACAAGAATTCTGGGAAGAAGTCAATGCACAAGGAGGAACCTCAGTTTAGAAATTATTTTGTTGGTTGGAACTGAAACAATTAAATTCTATCTCTAACTATACTTCTGTTCTTCCTTTTTGCATTCTCATCCCATGCATTTTGTGTGCTGTTCAACAGACAGAACCGTCTCCATGCAACTTGCTCACCGTAAAAATCATACAGATGAAAAATGCCAGGAAAGCAGACTTGTGTGAGTACCTTTGCTATACCCCTGGAGCATCCTCCTGCTTGTAAAACTACTCTGAATATATCAAGTGTCACAAACACCACAGACTATATTTAAAAGGAGAGAGGAGATGTGTGTACCCTTGTATCTTTGTCAATATAATACTGAAGTCTAGCCACCAGTTGTAATGCAGAACATATTTGCACAGATTACATGAAATATTTCATATCTGAATCTGCAGATAAACGTTCTTTTATTCACAGGAAAGATTGCAATAGGAATTTTCTTTCCATGGTTCCTTCTTACAGCAATGTACACCCTGTGTAACCCTGGGCTTGCCAAAGAATATTTGATGTGAGCTCAGGACTGCACACTTGGCACCTCTTATGGATTATCAATTTTCATTCAGCAGTAGGCATGGCTCACAGTTAGCTTTTTCTGTTCTTAAATATTTTTACAAACTGCCCAAGAATTATAGTTTTGCAAATATTTATTAATGGTCCATAAATATCTGAACTGCAAAGCATTAGAAAAAATGGCTTGAATGACAACCACCTCCTCCTATCTGAGAAGATGGCTGATCGTCTTGCATCTATTTATTTATACACATAGAAAGATGTGAATGCACAAAGTTTCTATATGAGCAGGACCAAGCAAAAGTTGTTCACTTAAAAAGATCCAGGACAAGATATTTTTGTGCCTTTACAACATTATTTGCTTCAAGTTCTGCAACAGTTTTTCTAGAGACAGAAGTTACATGAAAAAGAGTTTCTCACTCTTTTAGTGAAGAGCAGTAAGATGCTTTGTTGTTGATGAATGTATGAAGAGGAATCCATGTGAACCTTCTCACTGGACTACTTCTACAGCATGGAAAGCATATTTGAAGCTCAGTTATAGTCTGGAGAGAAATCCCTTTCTACAGCTAAAACCTATTTGAATGTATAAACATGTACACTGAACGGAAAAAAGAAGTGTGGAAAAATTGCAACCCTTAGATAGCTCCCTAGATATATCCCTATATCTAGGAAATCTCCATAGATAATGATGTTCTATTAAAACATCTGCATGACAGTGAGCTTACCAAACTTCCTCTCGACCTTTTTCTCATCTAGATCAATGCTTTTCATTTTCATCTTTAAGCTGGTTTTTTTTTCTGAATGGGGTTTACTATGTTTTGATGCTGTCCTATCCAATACTAGAAAATTTCTAGGGCATGGGACAGATAGTGAAATGCTCAGCCTTTTCTGCTTCCCAGTCCAAGCCATGTCCCACCTGCCTACAGAGCTTTCTAAAGAACTATTTGTGTGACAGAGGTGATTTTGGAGGGGACAAAATTTTGCACAAAAAGTCCAGGACAAACACTTGCAAAAGATGAACGATTTACTTGTTGTGGACATTTATCATGTAGGAAAAGAAAATCATAGCAGTCAGGGAGCACTGCCTTGCTTATGTTTAAATGTTGACTCTAGTTTGATTGACAGCTGCTTATATCCAGTAACATTTAACTTACTGAGCGTGAAATTTGTCAGAGGTATTTATCATAAAGATTTGCTTTTAAACTGTTTAAGGACATATTTTTCTATGCAGCCAGACTTCTGTAAGTCACAGATTCCAATGACAGGCTCTTCATCATATAACACAAACCAATATTTCAAAAGTTTAAAAGAATTAATTTAACCTCTGCTTAACTTTTCTGACAGTGTAAAAGCTAGTGCAAAAGGAATGTTCATAACTTTATAGGACTTCCACTGAGAAGCAGCAAAATGGGAATCTTGAGATAAAAAAATGCAATTAAAATTTTGCTGGTTCGTGTAAAACCAGGGGAGCATTGTTGAGTTGATTCAGTCTTCTTTACAGTTTCCCTAGAGATTAGCTTGAGACAGGTTTACAAACTCAGAGACACATATCCTCCATCACCAGCAAAGTAGACTTCTGTATAGGACCATTTTCCTAACACTGATCTTTTTTTCTCATTCTTCCTTTTCTCAGCCCTGTTTTTATAACTTTCTCTTTCTTGCTAACTTTTATAGCTAGAACAAGTTGGCAAGAGTCACCTATTTTTCATTCATCTTAGCACTTTCTGACATTTTATATTGGCTTCTTCTATCCTTGCCAGTTGTGCCTAACCTTGTACTAGGTTTCTGTAGAGTTTTCAGATCACTTTGTTTAATAGTCATCTAATGCTTAAAAGGTCTCCCAGCCTGGTGCTGCAGGTTAACTTTATTATTGGTTTATCTGCTCCATTTTCCAGGTAATAGAGATGGGAAAATTAATCCATAACAAAAGAATCTCAAAACCTCACTAACTTCTCTTATGGAATGTAAAAGACCTTTAACAGGAGTTCAGTGTATAAGAAAGTATTTTTAACTACGACAATTTAAAGGGTCTCATTCTGCTTTTAAAACCTGAATCTTTTTAATGCGCCCTTCCCACTGATCCCTTAGTTTGTAATTTATAACACTAATTTCCACTCGTGTATTAATGCATATCTGATATCATTGATAACACATATGACTTTAGTGCCTTGTTTGTCTTCTTCACATGCCCCTTTCTCACTGAGCACACCCACATGGTCATCAGGTTCATTTGGCCTCTTGATATTCCTGGACCTGTGATTGCTTGCCAGTTCCCAGGTTGGGGTGTGTCCTCCGCAAGCATCCTGGTTCCCTAATGGGGTAAGACTTGGATGTGCATCAATCCAACCCACCCTTAAAAACACAGCTTTGTCTGCTGAGATTTTTCAAATTTCAAGATCAGCTGCTCACCTTTGGCAAGCACCATAGCTCTGGAACAAACAGAAAGACATGGCTTTTTACAGCATGTGGTTCAGCTTGGGAATTCACCATGGCAGGAGACCATGAATGCCAAGGTTTATGCAGGTTGCAGGCAGAGTCTGGACAAGTTCATAGAAGAAAAAAAAAATCCATTCAAAGTAGGCTCAGGAAGTCTCTATCTTAAATTGTGAGGGCTAAGAGAGCATTAAATGATGTTTTCCCTCTTATACTCTCCTTAGAGATTCATCTATAAATGTGATGCATGATGTCCATCCTTGATAAGACCAAAGGTCTTTCCCCCCAAAAAAAGTGGGCAAAGGGACTAAAAACCAAGATGCTACAGAGAAATTAAGTATTTAAGTGGAATTAACAAATGGAAAAGCAAGGAAGCAGAGTGTTAGAGTGTGAAAGTAGGCTACTGCATGGGGATACTAAATTCTGCAATTTTAAGCCATCATTCTCTGCTTCCTGAAAATGCCTAAGATAGGGACCTCAGTGGACACTGAATGTGGGCCCTTGGCTATATGGACCTTGACCAGTATAGAGTTAAAAATACTCTTCATAATTTTCTTAGTAAGAAATTGTTTTTGCTTTTACAGATTTTTATTTTTTTTTAAACTTTGCTTTTTTAATTTTGGAAACTTCAAGTTTTGGATATTTTTAATATAAGGCCAATTTGGGTGCTGTATTTTATAAAATGTTTAAGTGTGTTTTATATTTTCAACAGAACTTTTTACAGAATTGCGTAGAAATTATGCCACATATGAGATCAATTCATGTGTGAGTCTCTTGAGATCCTGGAAATAAATATAGTCAGTGAAATACATTATTGTTTGAAGAACTGTGTTCCACCATGATACTTATTGCAGGAACATGCAGACTTCCTTTGGTCTGTTCTTGCACTCTTGTTTTTGTTTCATTGTTATTTATTACTTACTTCACCATTTAAGCAGTTGCAACTATAAACCAACAGCCTATTGTTCTAGGTGCTGCAAGAAATAGGATTATAAAAGCAGAGGATGTGTACTGGTAAGGACAAACAAGGAAGGTTGTTTAGCAACATCTCAACAAAGGAGTGTTTTAAGGAGGGATGTAAATGAGATTACATAAATACGGTTTTAGGGATACTTGTAGGGTGCTCCACCCAGAGTGAAGGACAGGGTGGGAGAAAGTGTGAAGGCTTTTTCTTGAAGTTTATCTATTAGAAGATGAATACTGAATGCTCCCTGGGGACAGGAACTAATCTCCTTGGACAGAACAAATTCTGGTAGTCTCTCTGTAAATTGCTTTCTGGAATGCCATAGAAGTAGCACGCATTTGTATTAAAAAAAAAAATAAAAAATTAAAAGTTTCAATGACATCAATTATCTCAATATTTTGCCCTCTAGAAGACAGCGATGCTGACTTGTCCCCTCACCCTCAGCCAGATACCTACTCAGCTATGAAGTGGGGGAAAAAGAAGAAAAATGCTTCTCTCATCTGGTGTGATATCTTATACTCTGTGACTTGGCTGGATCCAAGTACAGGGAGATCAGGTCAAGGAGATGCTCTGGGCAAACAGTGTTTGAGATCATATTCTTGGTTCAGGTCCTTTCAGCATAAGAAGAAAAAAACTATACCATTAGTGTCATGAAAAATCCACCTCCTAGAAACAGTGAGGAGCTAAATTGAAATCCATGAGGAGAAGGATGTTTGAAGCTTTTGCCCAGGTTACAGGTGGGCTTGAAGCTTGCAGCTGTTAAATCAAAAAAGGAAATGGAATTGATATTAAAATGTTTGGTTGAGCCGTGCTTGAATCTGAGCTCTCTATGAGGCAGGTGAGATTTCAGCTCGAGCCAGATGAGTGGGTGTCCTGCTGTTTGGGATGCAGCATGGGGCTGTGGCTATGGTGTTTATTAGCATGGGTCATGTTGTTGAAATGCTTCCTAATGGTAAAGCACAATTAAGATCCAGTCCTGCCTGCTATTACCCTGGAAGATAATTAGACACAAGATAATTAGTGTAATAACTGGACAAGGAGACCGTGCTTTCATAAATACCTGCTGCCACACCTGCTTTTGGCCGGATATTGCCCCACAGGAATACCACGGCTGCCATCCCAAGCATGTGTGACAGCTGTTAGCGTGTCATGGTGGAGGGGAGGCACCCAGCAGGTCACTGGTGTGATGCTGTGCTGTGTGTGTCCCGTGAGAGCCCAGTTGCTGTAGTTGGGTGTTGGTTAGGCTTTCATACAGGGTGATGGAGGTTTGCTCACACGTGGCTGGCAGTGGGAGCATTGTATGTGTACATGAAGAGGCAGAGGGATACTGCAGTGAGACCCACCAGGGCACAGGATGGGCTGTGGAGTGACATTTCTCACACACCCACTACTTATACCTGGAGGTGCTCAGGCAGAACATCAGCCCGAGGTATCAGAGTTGTGTAAAAAAGGTTCCTGGGTGTTGCAAATGCCTCTCAACATCTGGAAAATAATTTACAAACAAGAGGTAATTAGGTTCCAGAGGATGCTTCTGAAGCACAAAGGGCATCACCAAACATATTTTGCAGATGGGAAGAGCATGCTTGTTTAGTGGCTGCCAGAATTCTGAGAAAGTCAGAGGTCTGAATGAGAAGTCAGAGCTCTGCTGTCTGACAGGTACTTATTTCTTAAAGGTGGAAGATACAGTGCAGAAGCAGATAGTGACCACTTACAGACAAAAAATAATTGATGGAGTTTCAAAATAATACTGTGTTCTTTGCAACAGATGAAGTCAATGTATTAATAATTGGGAAATGTCAATTAAATAAACTTTGGTTCACCCATAGACTTACCCATTTGGATCCTTCTGATCTTTCTCAGAGACAAGAGCCAACAGCAATCCGTGCTAATATCAGTCTGGGCTTCTCAAGAGCCCAAAAGATTTTTATAGGAACATTTTCTGTACGTAGACACAACTTTGGGAGCTATTAGAATTGTTAGAAGCTCAGCTGATTTCTGTGTGTTTTGATGTTTTGATTTTTTTTTAAATCATATATCTTAATATATATGACAACTACTTTATTGGTCAAAGTTACTCTTTCATTCAGAGATACTCAGAAAAAATGACTTAAGCCTCAGGGAAGTCATGGGGGCAGAGGAGGAAAGGCTGATTTTGTTAATTCTTGAGTTACACATGGGGAGTCAATAATGGGCCAAGTCAATTGTTTTGTGTTTCCCAAAGTCAAGTCTGCCAGTAAAACTGTGACAAGACTTAGGCCTATTCAGATGCAGTTCAGATGAAGGTGTGTCTGCTATGCAATGGCAGGAATGCTTGAGTACATGGCATTACATAAAGAGGAAATACAATTCTACTAACAGGACTGGCATTTATGGCAATGCTGTCTTCGGCACTTGTGTAGGATGTCATCCCTAACTAAGAGATCATGTTCTGTAGGGTGACCATCCCTGACTTTTGAGTGTGGGTCCACAAGATTGTTAATCTAATGATTTCATTCTTGCTGTTTTATTTCCTAATAATGATGACAAGTATATTTGCCAGTAGATTACTCTGACCTCAGAATGAAAGTGCTTGTTGATGATGCAAGCCCTACACACTGCTGCTAACCACTCCTTCCTACTAAAAGCTCCTACAATGGAGCTTTTACACTTTACAACTGGCCTCTTCAGCTGAGAAAGGAAAATAGAAACACTAAAGCTGCCCTCCCTACATCTAGAAACATTAGAATTAGTAGGAGAACTTTGACCTGAACACGCCTCGAATGGAAAGAGCAGAGCAATGCAATTTTGTGCAAAGAAGCAATATTAGCTTGCTCTGTGCTGGGAAGCGCAGACAAGCTTCCACCTGTACATGAAGCATTGCAAAAACCTTTGCCACTCTGGCTGAGGCACAGAGACACAGGTGGAAATAGTGACATTAAGCAATACCTTTTTTTATACAGCTTTATTGCTGAAAACTCTGCCCCAATACAGCTACCTCTCAAAGCAAATGTTATCCATCAAACTCAACATTTCAATGCTTATAATAGTCTTCACAGAAGATTAAATTCCATAATTTCATCTCCACAGATGATGAATCTTCTTTTCTTGAATTTTTTTTCTTAATATTTTGTTGAAAAACTCTGTTGTTGAGTGTTTCCTTTTTTAACTTTCCTAAAGGAAGAAAGCAGACTGAAATAAAGTAGAAAATGGTAGATGTGCCCTCTGTGACGGAAATTTGGCTTCATACCAACCTTAAATGCAATGAGCTCTTGACTCTTCTGCATTGGCAACCAGAGGTCATACAGGAAAGAAAGGATGCTCAGAAATTAGATGAGACAGACTTACATCCAGAGCTACTCTAGATGTATAAAGGCATGTTCATGCTTACCTGTGGAAGCCCAGTGTGTAGGAGCTGGGCTCTGTCCATGTGCAGGTCCTGTCACAGCTGCTAATGTCCACGGTGGCCAGCCCTGTGAGGCCACTGTGTGTATGTGCCCCTGTGTGTATGGATGGCTCTTTAGCAACACAGCTGTATATTTTGAATGTTTACTTTTTTTTCCCCAGGACTTGGAAAAAAATAGTTTTCAAGAAGAGCACACTGACAGGCTTTCACAATAGTAAAGCACGATGGCTGTCTAGCAGAAGCTTGATAGTACCCTAGCCAGTGCCAGGCCTTGATTCTGTGTATTGCTTTGTGTACAGAGCTTAAAAATGCCCACCTTATGGGGACTAGATTGTTTCATTGGTCGATTGCTTTCCGTGTCTTCAACAGTAAGTCAGTCTGATTGCTATGTGAGCCTGAGCCTGCCAACAGCTTCAGTGCAGCATTTCCGCACCAAGACCGTCCAGAACAGCAAGAACCCAACATGGAATGAGACCTTCCACTTCACAATTCAGAGCCAAGTTAAGGTAAGAATGCAGACCTCCAACAGCTGTTCTTATCAGATATCAAGCATACTATGCATTCCTTCAACTCTGCTGGTCCTTCTGAGAATCCCTTGTGAAGTATTGACACTCTCATACTGTGCTTATTTAGATTTTGATAGTTTGATAAGACTGTATCTTCCTGCATAGTCAATAGAGTACACAGAGAACAGCTGCAATATTTCTATATTTTCATTCTTTCCCAAGGTTCTTCAACTAAAATGAAATATCTGTAGCATGTTATATTTGTTAAAACTTTCATATTCATTTATTTTTTCCCCAGAATGTTCTGGAGCTGAAGGTTTGTGATGAGGACAAAGTAACTCAAGATGACCATCTCCTCACTGTTTTCTTTGATGTCTCCAAAATCCAGCTTGGAGAAAACATTCAGCTAAGTTTCCAGCTGAATCCACAGGTATGGATAAAATGGTTAAAACTCAAGGACAAAGCAATAAGGGGTAGGGTCAGGTGAGAAAATGCTTGTGTGGAGAGCACCCCAAGAGGGAGCAGAGGGGAGCAGCCACCAAGAGGCCCTGCAGTATGCATTCCACTTATTCTGCAAGGCCTATGCTAGGAGTCTGCTAAATTAATGGATAAGATGCTAGAAGTATATGATACTAGAAGCATAACAGATAGAACACCAAGGAAATTAGATCTGCTGCATGTACAGCAACAAAAGGTGGACACTGGTTTATAGAGACCCCTGAAGGGCACAGATTCCTGTAGGGTATCTCTCTTCACAGGCGACTAAGCTGCGGTCACTGCCTTAATTTTCTTTTGCAGGGGAAAGAGGAGCTGGAGGTTGAATTCACAATGGAGAGCAGGTGCGTAAGGTGAAATAGCTGGAGGTGTAAGATGGAAACACAAGGTTACTGCTACAAATCAGTTCATGCTTGCAGCCCCCTAGCACTGCCAACATCTGAATAAAACAGAAGGTAACTTTGGGTAGAGTGTTTAATGTAGAAGGAATGCATGATGGTGCATGGTATGCATGCATCTACACTGGGCATCCAGACACAGAGAAGCAAGCACAGGTGCTGGTGGGAGCACAGAGATATCTCTGATGGCAGCTGCTCACCAAGTCAAAAGGCACAATCTACATAGGAGGAAGTTTTAAGCTTTCTCTCTTTTTCCTTACTGTGGGATCCCAGATGTTTGCTCTGTCATAACATTTTTTCTTCTGTGTTTTGCTGACTGTACAGTTAATGGAGAGAATAAGTATGTACATCAGTCCTAGTGCTGCTGATTTTTAAGGCAAATAGTAATTTTTTCCCTGTGTTTTTGTTGGTTTTTTTTTAATGGCATGTTGGATGAATTCAGAAGCTTTTTAGCTCTGATTCCACAGGTTTGAGCTGAACAATTTTGGGCAATAGTGTGATTATGCCATCCCTGTGTAAACTGTCTTCAGTGTGTCAGAAAATTACCCTGTCTGATACAGTGAGGACCTCCTCTGTTTGGTGGATTTCCGCAAATGTTGTCAAGTTCAGACTCTAACCTGTGAGAAGTAAACTGGATTGAATATGCATGTGGAATGTCTGATTCTGTTTATCTGTGCTGCCAGTCCAAAGGTAATGAAATAATGCTTAAAGAAGAGTCAGAAGAAAGAAAAATAAGAATGTGCTGGTTTTGAATGTTTTCCATTTTGCCTTTCAGTCCAGATCCTCCAGAAAACATTGTTACCAATGGAGTTCTAGTGGTAATTTTTATTTCCTAGTCCTTTTCCCTGCTGTATAAGAATGCTTGTTGCAAAGCTGGTGTTAAAGCTACCAGGCCATTGTGGTGGCATGGAGGCATTGACCAAGACCAACACACACAGCCTAAAGCTGGTGTTGGCATTGGCTTTCCCATGTGTCCCAGCTAGTGACTCAGGCTGGGAGAAGTTAAAGCCGTGAAGACTGTGTGCTGCTGTCAGTGCTCGCCTCTGCCTAAACTGAGCTGAGCTCAGGGGTGTGACATCCTTCCCTCTGCCCGGGAAGAGATGGGTACCCCATTTGGAGAGCCTTCTCCTGTGGCTGATCCTCCCCCAGGCCCTTGCAGGGCTGCTCCTGCAGGCAGAGAAAGCAGATCCATTCTCTTTTCTCGTCTCTATGCAGTCTGCTATTTCCCCTGGGGAAGTCCAACCCCATCTCCCTAGACCTGGCAGAGGGGTTACAGGCTGACACCATCTCTCCCTTGAGGTGTATGCCCCAAGACCCCGTGGGAATGTCTCCAGTGGACTGGATGAGGTCGAGCTCTGCTGACAGTGAATGCCCTTGTCTCTTGCCCCTGCTGTCTCTTACAGTCCCGTGAGGTTTCCTGTTTGGATGTGCAGGTGAACGACGGGAGGCTGAGGAAGGACACTATGGGTGAGCCTTTCACTGTCTTATGGAGCAAATCAGGTTGCCACTTAATGGCAGAAGCAGTCAGTGTTTTACACTTGAGCATGCTGGTTTTAAAATTCTTTAGGATGCAAGACAAAATCTCACTGATGCCAGTGGCCTGTGGAGATGGTTGTAGTTGATCAAAACTATACAGATTATTCCTGAATGTGGTGAGATGAGCATGTGGTCTAATACCCCCACAAAATATTTTCCTCTGCAGTGACGTCTTACCAGATACTTACAATTTTCCAAAGCGGTTGTGAAAGGAATTGAGTTTTTTTGGGTCCTAAACTGAAGCTAACTTCTGTTGTTTCTGGATTCTGGGACAAAATAATGGGCAGAATGAGAGCAGGGCCTCTTTTACTATCTAACTCTATAGAATTTCTTTAGGTATAAAAATATAAGACATGCCACTGGGTGAAACACAAGGCACAATATGTTAAGAAAGATATTTGCTGCACACTTAAAGCAGTGTGTCACTGCCATGTCAAGCCCATACTTGTGGAATTGTGTGCCTCCTATGCAATTTTTAAAGTATCTTGTTCTAACATCCAGTTGAGCTCAGTGAAAAAGTTTGCTAGATGTGACTGAAAATGCTTAAGTGAGGTAATTATTTTGAAGGCTGACTATGTAGTTTGGAATGTGTAGCTTTTCGGAATATATTTCACCTTGAACCTTGGGTGGGTTGATATCTTTCTTCATAAAGACTGTTTTTAATTCCTTCAGCAGACATATCTGATGCTTTTTGCATGAAAGGAAAAAACACCAGACACTATTTTGCATGTGCTAGAAATATTTCAAAAGAAATATTACAGGTTGAAGGAAAGAGAAGCATGATAGAGGGACTGAGATTTAACTGATACCAAAGAGAACTGTGGTCTGATACAAAAAAACTGTGTTTCTCCCAAAAATCCAAAATTTTCAAAGTATCTCAGCAATAAGACAGTGTGTAATACTCAAACATTATTCTGGTGTAATAAAAAAGGCATTTTGCACATTTCAGACTTTCAGAAGAAAGAATAGCCAAACTATTATTGGCTATGAATCATTATCTAAAACAGAGCTGTAGTCTCTCCTATCACATGTCTATCTGAGTGCAGTGGTGCTTAAGTTTGACCTACCTGTGCTCCAGAGAGGAAGTTTGCATTAACTGTGGACGGATCATATGAAGGAACGCAGACGCACACGCTGAGCTCCTGCCTGTGCCCGACGTCCCCGGCCAGGTTCCACTGCATCAAGTACAACCAGTCGTCGCTCACTGTGGCTCTGCCGCGGCGCAGACGGCTCAGCAGGGTACGTGAGCATCACTAACATGTAGCTCTTTCTCTGGGGACCTCTAAGAGCTGAGTATGTGTGTGTAGATCTGCGTATGCTAGCAATTGGTTAATGCATATATGTGAGACAGCTTTAAACTTTTTTTCTCCTTTATTTTTTTTTTAATAGGTAACTTGTTTATTTTTTGTCTTACCCTTTTTTCCAGTCTATATCAAGTCAAAATGAAAGGGATATGAATGAATCTGTGACTCTACCTCTGAACTCACTTCCTATACAAGAGAAAATAGCAATAGGAGAGGTAAGAACCAGTCTTTCTGAACAGAAAACAGCCCAATATGCATTCAGTTTGGTGGATGATCAGTCTTAGAGCTTAGTGATTCAGCTCCTGTCAGACACGAAGCATGCTATGGTGTAAGGTGTGAATGACAGTCACTCTGCAAGTGTGCCATACTTTTTCTTTTGTTCTGCACATGGATCCAGGCATGCTCTGTGAAACCCTGTTCTGAGTTTAAACTAACTTGTTCAGGACATGTCCAATATGTACATTCATCAACATAGTACACACAATAACAGTAATGGGTATGACAATTAGGCCTTATATTTTCAAAGGGAGTGCCTGAAGTAGAAGATAAAATAGAGATCATACATATGTGTATGATTCAGATGCCCAGCTTTCAACAACCTTCCCAAATAATGAATGTTAAAATACGAGGAGCTGAGGGGCTCTAAGCTCACCTAGCTAGGGTGAATGGCTTACTTTAACTCAACCCAGATTGTGCTGGAACTTGTGAAGGTCTCTCACAGTCCAGACCATTGCTGGCCAGATTCTCTGGCCACATTGCTGAATTCAAAATAGTGAAACTCAGGCCTTGGATGGAGTGGGGGAGGAAGGCACTGGAGTAACTACCTGAGCATGCTTACACTGTTTCTATTGTGATTTTCAGGACAGGACAATTGACTTGTACACAAAGGCAAATGAATGGTAAGTGAGTCTCCAGCAAGACCTGATTCTGTAACTGGAGGACATCTGCTCCTACACAAAGCTCACTTGAAATCAGCAGGGGTTGATTCAGGTTCAGATGGGAACAGATATGTGAGTTCATTATCGGGTTGTAGGCTTTTATTTGTGAGGTTCTGCTTTTTAATTGATGGCAAATTAAATCATGGGTCCCCTGTCCTCCAAATTTCCAAGCTGCTAGTGCATCTCAGAAATAGGTCTTGATTTATGTGCACTATTATGCCCACAGATGGAGTGAGGAGCTCTGCAAAGAAATCACAGTTCTGAATTAAACAAACAAAATAACTTCAAGGCATCTTAGGTATTTCTCTAATTTCACAGCTGCAGTGCCTGTTGACAGTGGTTATCTAGTTACAGGATGTATGGCAGCACTACTGAAACTTGAAAAATTAATTATATGAGCAAATAAAACCAGAAGTCTGTAGTAGATACATAGTGGACAGTGTGTCATGATTTGCACTGCCTTCCTATTTGCATTCTCATTTTCAGCTACAGCAATTAGCAGAGGTCTGTCTGTGGTGCTGTCGTTCCTTATGTATTACCTTATACTGTCCACAAAGTGATCTGTAAACACACACAAGCACAGCTGGAGTTGTCCACAGTGACTAATAATACAATACCTGTGCCCTGGTCTCAGGACCCAGGGTCTGTGTTTCAGACCAAGAAACCTTGACGCCCGCCTGGGCTTTGACCTCTGCACAGATGAACAGAATTTCCTGCAAAACCGAAAGAAGGTAGTTGCTGCTGCTTTAAAGGATGTTCTTCATCTGGAGGAAGATCTGCAAGAGCATGAGGTAAACCAGTTAAGGGCACTTTTGGGGGATTTTTCTCTCTCCTTTCCCTCAAGCCTGGAAATGAGGGATGATTTTTTTTACCTCCACCTGGATAAGCAGTGAGGATCGTTAACACCAGCTCATCCTCCAGGGCACATTGTCACCAGTGTGGTCTCAGCTGGAGAGTTCAACTGTCTGTTTTGATGAGCAAAATCTGTTTCGACTCAGCTTACAAGTGAATTATTTGAAGGCATCCAAACCAAAAGTTTGGTCTGCGTTTCCTTAAAATCTTCTTTAAAGTGATAAGACCTAGTATATTCCACATGGATGTACAGTATAGAGAAATGTTGCTTTATTTCTTAATTTATATATTTTCTTTTACTAATGTCTGGATGCTGCTTTTGTATTTCTGTAATCTTTCGACATTATTTGTGCTTTAATGCCACTCTTTCACCTATGCTTCTCTTTTATTTTTTTTTTTTATTTTTTCATTATTATTTTATTTTATTTTTTTTTTCATGTCCAACAGGTGCCTATAGTGGCTGTGACCACAGCAGGGTGTGGCATAAGAGCACTCACTGCCATGTATGGCAGCATTTTGGGTCTCCAAAAGTTGCGTGTTCTGGATTGTGTTTCATACATCAGTGGTTCATCTGGCACAACATGGTGAGGAGTCAGTTTGATACTGTTGTTTGGATCTTGCTGTGTTAAGAAAAGCCTATGTTCTGTCTTGGTTTCAGAAAGGGTAAATGTGATCAATTGAGTTATTGCTTCCATCTTCGGGCTATGAGTGCCAAGAATGAAAGAATTATTGTGACCCATCCCTAACCGAAAGAGGAGACTTTATTAGAAGTGTAAACATCCTTAATCCTATGAAAAATGATCCTTTATTATTATTTACTGTTTGACAGACACAACATTGACAGCTGGTGTAGCTGCTTATGTTGCATCTTAATCTCAGATTAAGTGATTTTTGACTGATTGCCTTTAGACTTGCATTTCTACTCAAAGCTCAAAGAGGAGAATAACTAAAAGATAAAATGATATGCACCCAAAACTCTACAAAGTTTATTATTTGAGTTTCAAAAGCATCTTGTTCATTTCTCCCTGCATTCCATCATGTTTCCTGTCTGCAGGACAATGACAAAGCTATATGAAGATGCTGACTGGTCGCGTAAGGATCTTGGGGAAGTAATAGTTGAAGCACGGAAGCAAGCAGCCAAGTGCAAGATGGGGGCTTTTTGCTTGAAAAGTCTCAGGAATTATTACAGAGAGCTGAGCCAAAGGACCCAAGCAGGACATAAAACATCTTTTATTGATCTGTGGGGGCTCATGATTGAAGCCATGTTAAATGATGGGGTAATGTCTATACACCTTTCTTCTCATGAAGCTGTTGACTGAATATTTACAGTCATTGAAAGAAACTTTCAAAGAGCCCTAGGAAGAGACACCTGGTCAGTAACACTGTACTTGGTGCATAGGCAGAACATCACTTATTTATATAAATAACTTGGAGACATAGTATATGTCTATCCTGGAGCCTGAAGTGGGATTGAGTGTATCAGAAATGCTCATGCTAGCTCTAAAGTAAGCAGAATGCTTATTAACACTACAGCTGTGCAAAAAAATTTCAAGGTTCTTAGGTGTTTTTTATAGCCTTATGCTTTTATCTCTCCACTGCCGCAATATTTGCACAAGCTGCCCTCTTAACTTGAATATAGTGAAGATGTACCCGTTACGTCCAGCAGTTTGTGACTTAGTGATAAGTATATAGACCCAGAGCTGCTGAGATATATTAGCTACAGTGGGTGCCTTTCAGCGCCTTTGAATTTGATTTCTCAGGATCTTCATTATTTCTAATTTTATTGTAATTACACAACAAAAACTTTCCACACTTTCTCCAGGCTGATGATAGCTGGAAAAAAAGCTATTTTATTTCAAAATTCTCTAAACATGGTTTGCTTTTTGTCTAGATGAAACAGATAAAATTAAATACTCTTATTTCATATCATATTTCACACAGTATTTCCAGCCTCAATGCTACATGGCAAAATTTGCTAGAATTTAATTTGGCCGAAGTATACTCAAAACCTCCATTACCTGTATAATTTGTTAGTATTGGACAGCTCAAGGGCTTTTCCTCTGTGGATGTTAACTTTCAATATAGTATTTAAAAAAAGAAATCTCAATTAGAAGGGTCATTAACATGCAGCCTTGAAGAACTCATCATTAACAGATGAAGGATATGATAACACTTGGATTACCTGGATATGCCATATATTCTAACTTACATTTAACCATACAAAGCTAGAACAGAAAGTGAAGTGATTCAATGCTGTCATTGTATACTGAAAGCTGAACATGGCTGGTTGTCTTAAGAGAAATTGTTCCTGCTTTCTCGTCCTCTGTTATTCAAACACATGGAAATAAATTTAGAAGCAAATTCAGGAAAAAGATGTCTTAATCTTTATGAGCTGATGTTTTTTAGGAACTGACTATAAGCTAACTATTTGGGTTTTTTTTTCAAATCCAGAAAAGTCACCACAGACTTTCTGATCAACGTCAGGCAGTGAACCAAGGTCAGAACCCACTGCCCATCTACCTTGCCCTTAATGTCAAGGACAAAGTTGCCACCAAAGATTTCAGAGGTAATGGTTCAATTGTGAAAAAGAGCTATATTTTCACCCAAGGAGATAGACTTTGGGGATACAGTAAGTAATGATGAATTCTCACTCCAAGCTCAGAGAAGCAGAAATGTAAAGAGTAACTGGGTTGGCACATGGTACACATGAAGAGTTCAGTATTTTTTAAGAGCTCTTCACATGTGATTGTGTATTTTAAGGTATTAACTTCAGACTTATAACACAACATAGTTCTGTGACAAAGTCTCAGAAATTATATGGATTCTTCAAGAAAGTGATTCACTAGAGATTTAAGTTTGTTTAATATATGTTCTGGTCCATGATGGGAGTTGAAACTATATGATCTCTAAAGTCCCTTCCAATCCAAACAATTCTATTACTCTGATTTTCATAGCTGGCTAAAGGCAATAGAAGTCAATAGGAGTTCTAGTCCACCTTGCATGAGAAAACTTTGTACTCACTAGATAAAAAGAATTTAATTTTTTTCCCAGCCCTGAGATAGCTCTTTTCCAAACCTGGGGACAGTGTGAATAGCTGGTTCAGCAGTGGCTGTTGGCAGGGTTTGCTCAGGACATGTAGCTAAGCCAGTTTTCTTGTGAGAGCTAGTGTCTGAGAGCCTTATTCCAAGCCTGGCAACTGGACTATTTTCTATAGTGGAGCTAACTTTGGTGCATGTGTTGGCAGAATGGGTGGAGTTCACGCCATACGAAGTGGGCTTTCTGAAATACGGCGCCTTCATTCGTGCAGAGGATTTTGGCAGCGAGTTCTTCATGGGTCGCTTGATGAAGAAACTCCCAGAGTCACGAATCTGCTTTATGCAAGGTAATTCAACAACCTGGGGAGTGACAAGATTTTAATAGAAACATTAATGATCAAGGAATTCTCCCCCAGAAACCTGTTGTTAGCATGAGGCAGCAGAGGTACTGGGTCAGTCAGCTGACAGACTTCCCAGGGAAATAGTCACAGCACCAAGCCTGCCTGAGCTCAAGAAGAGTTTGGACAAAATTCTCAGGAACGGGGTGTGATTCTTGAGGTTGTGCTGGGCAGGGCCAGGAGCTGGGCTTGATGATCCTTGTAGATCTCTTTCAACTCAGGATATTCTATGATTCTGTTTCCTAAGATTCATTTAACTGCCCTTGCCAGCAAAGCTGGTTTTACTATGTGGTCTAAGATAAAAATTAATATGGCAAAGAAGTTGTCATGTACGTTTCTGAGAGCTTTGGAGGCAGCATCATTTCCTGTAGCTTGCAAAAGCTTTTCAAAGTTGGAAATTTATGATACTCTCTGGAAGCCAAATGAAAAGCTGAAAATAAATCAGTGGTGTGAGAAAGAGAAGAACCAGAGAGGGAGCTGGCTGAGAATATTTATTTTTCAAAGGAAAAAGGAAATGAAAATAGGAACATGAAAATTGAATATAAAATTTAAAATAAAAAAAGTTCCAGGTAAAACATGGTGAGAGGGAAAAGACTTGTAAATGTTTTCTGAAATAAGTTTGCTTAAATAAGTTTGCCTTTGGAGTCTACCATTGAAACAGATGTCTAAACTTATGCAAAAATTGGATACAAATAAGAAAAAGTTAGAGAAGACTGGGAAAGGAGCAGACAGAAGTTTTAAAAGAACTTGTGTTTACGTCTGCATTGCTTATTATACATCTCCCACTTTCTAGGAATGTGGAGTAGTATCTTCTCCAAAAATCTCTTGGATGCCTGGCACGCAGCTGACAATTCAGAAGATTTCTGGCACAGGTGGACACAAGACAAAGTGACTGAAATAGGTAAACCAAAACACCTTCCTCCAGACCCCTCTGATAGGGTAACTGCACTCACTTTTCCCATTTTTTCAGCTTTTCTGTCATCCTGTTTCTCTCAGTCTCTGGGTATGGGACATACCAGAAAAATGAAGTTATTTGATTTTACTGAATAGCCAGTGCTTTGCTTAAATAGTGAGACTGTGACAAGAAGGAAAGGCAACATCAGATAGGCCTTGATGTAAAGGAGATAGGGATGGGCACATAAGGTGATCCCCAAAGTGTTGTCTTTAAAAGGTTGGGAAATAAATACTTCTGTCAAAGCCTCATGTCATGTATTTGCTAGCCAGGGAGAAGCTTGATTGTTTCTGTTCCAATATCTCCTTTCCCTGCACAGCACATCCCTCCCTCAAATCTGACTAAATGGAAAACTTAGTAGATGTCAGACAAGGTCAAAGTGGTGGAGCTCTTACACCAGCTGAGAAGCAGCTCCATACTGAAAGACCATTCCTTGGAAATACTTAGGAGCATCTTCATAACAAAATTCAAGCAAAGTCAGTGAACAAACTTGGGTCACATTTTTGTGGACTATGTTTTCATAAAAGAACTCCAAAGCCTTATGTTTGAGTTTATATAAATAATTTGCAAATTTTGTTGAATTCAGGTGTCCACAACTGAACCAAATAGAACAATCTAGCTTTTTAAAAGTAAAAATATTTAGTTTAAAAGTAAAATGCTAAAATTTTCCTATGCTTTTCAAAATAAACTTTGAATTTAATATTTAACCTATATGAAATCTAAAAGCAGTAATCCTTTAAAATGTATTAATAAAATTAATTCCCCTGTTTGTTGTTTGCTTGGGAAAGTGAATTACTTAGTGTGTACCAAAATCATACTGTTTTGTGAGAAAATGTTCTTTTAGTCATGTGTAACCAACCAGAGTTTAGAAAACACAAGTAAGTTTATACTTTTGTCACAAAATTAACTGGAACTCACAGCGGATCATAGGGAAAAGAATGCAATGCTGATCCGTGAGCACACAATTACAGAAGACCCATTGACCCTTTTACCTTTTTGTGTCTTGCCTCTTCTTAATTATAGTTATAATTCCATTTAATGACATTTATCTGTGTATCTCCAGAGGAACAACCAGACCTGCCTGAGAAGCCGTATGAGATGGCCACATGCGTTTTCACTCCTACGAGTGGCCTCTCCACCACGCTCCGGGAGATCCTGACGGATCGTCCTGCCGTCTCCAAGTACCACAACTTCCTTAGGGGCTTCCAGATGCACAACGAGTATATCCAGCATGAACATTTCACAAAATGGAAAGGTGTGGATGGCTCTCCTGCCTACATGTCTCATTGGAGCAGGCACAGGGGCTGGGAATTAGTGAGGGACATTTGCGTGTCCTGAAGAGAACAGAGTGGGTTTTGTGGATACCTGTTAGTGCTCACTGAGAGGAGAGAGAATGAAGAAACTCCTCACACCTTTCACTTTCAGTAACACAAATGTTCAATTATTTAGTCATTGGGTACTCAAGGTCCTCACAGGAATAAAAATTGCTAGGGTGGGGCTCTGCATATAAGGCATCATCTGTATGGGTTTTGGTGCAGTTCATGGGTTTAGAAATACGACAAACAAAATGTGAGTGGAGTGGCTGAAGGAGCTTTAGGACTGCTGAATGCTACCCACCTTAAATCAAAGGGAAAATCCTGGATGGGAGGGAAGCTCACCTTCCTTTTGTGTTCTAACTTGACAGATATCTTTCTGCAGTTTGCTAATAGCTCTGAATCTTCCACTCTTTAGACACATTGCTGGACACCTCTCCCAATGACCTGAGAGGCAACTCGGAACACCTGGAGCTGGTGGATGCAGCTTTCTTCTTTGAAACCAGTTACCCACCCCTTATGAGGCCAGAGCGGAAAGTGGATGTCATCATACACTTAAACTACACAGGTGGATCACAGACATTGGTGAGAAGTCTCAAAACAGATTTTATTTCACAACAGCTTTTGCTTTGATTTCCACTACTTTCAAACACATGTCTGTGAGACATGGAACATAGTGGAATTTAGTAAACATGCTGTTTTCAGAACCTTAGAAGAAGAACGGAAATTTCTAGAGAGGAAAATATGAGTATTTTTCTCAAGCTACTTTTGAAATACCCTTAAGTTCTTCACCAGTGAAATACAGACAGGCAAAGTGAAGTTAACAAAGTCTAGTTGCCATGTCTATTATAGTCTTATATATAATATTTAATAGCACAAATGAAGTTGGGAAACTTTTGTGACTCAAGTGCTGAATTTAATCTGTGTTTTGCTTATTTGCTTTGTAAGATTATTTTTTTTTAATGTTGATTTTCTAGCAAGAACAGCCTAGTGAGTAATGGGTTTCTTAATCTTTATTTTTATCTCTTCTAATAAATACATATTTTCTCTCTAAATAGTGGACTTGAAGCAAGGTATCAAATGCATTTACTGCTCCAGCAGAAATCTAATTTGGTTTAAATGGTTATATACATTTTGAAAGCAGTATTTACCACATAAATAAACAGTTTTAGACTTCAAAATATAGAAACAACTTGTAATTGTAAACCTGCCCCAGAGAGACACCCCAAAAAAATACAGAGTTCAGTGTTTAAGGTTCTGTCAGTTTTTCAAGTGGAAGATACTTCAATCCTGCAATTATACATGAAAAATACTCGTCTTGGTACTGCAGTGGAAATTACAATAGCCTCAACTATACTTCTTTCTTGTATTCCGAAATCTTTTGGAAATACTTAATTCAAAATGAGGTGATACTTTTTTTGTTAGATAATTTAACAAAGCTGGTCATCACAAATGGACTTTCTGATAAATGCTTTTAGTGCTATATTTTGAGGTCTAAAATATATTATTTGAAAATCTCATGTTATTTCTTAAATTCTTAATACCTTTAAAGTTATAGATATCGGTAAGTTGGTCTTAAAACCTTGCTAAAGTTTACTGAGGTCAAATCACAGGTTATCCTGCTATGTAAACAGATAATGGGACTGGGAATCCTACTGTCTTAGACTGCAAATTTAGTTTGGTTTAGATCCACATTTTTTCTGACTTAGTTCTCCTTTAATTAATGGTCTATAACATGATTTGAATTAATCTGTTCTGTTTCTACATCATAGTCTCATTTTAGAGATGTGCCTTAGTACAGGTTTAAACTCTTTTTGCCATCTTAATATTAGGTGTTTTCCTGGAAGACTATTTCCAAATGGCTCCTCAGGTGACTGAAAAGCAGTCCTTGGGGCTGCAAATGTCCACATTATTTCTGGGTGTCTGGCTCTCAGTCTGTTCCGTGCAACTTTGGATGAACTGCTGGGCTTTGGCAGCAGTCTGATCTTTGCTATCTTTTGTGTTCCTTGTGCTGCTGCTGTCGACCAGCCCCTGGAGCAGGCTTGCAGATACTTTGCAGAGCAGGAAATTCCATTTCCCTGCATTGGACTGATGGATGATGAGAAGAACCTGAAAGAGTGCTATATGTTCGATGGTGCAGACACTCCAGGAGCTCCTCTGCTGCTTTATTTTCCATTAGTGAATGACACTTTTCAAAGATATGTAGCACCTGGTAAGTCAGCAGTACCCAGCTAACCTTATTGACTCAAGGAATAGTTCCATTCTCATTCCCTGGGTGTTTTTTTCTCTACCCAATAGAACCCCCTCTTTGTTTACTTGTTCATACTAGTGAATAGATTGCAAAATGGGATGATTCAAACTGTTTGCAAAAACTGGAGTGGTCTTGTGCATAATTTTGTTTGTGTCTTTGTGCAATTCAGGGAATAGAAAAAATGTGTTCCTCAATTAGAGGAATGGAAACTAATCTCGTCTAGTAATTTCCAGAAGTTTACTTTTTTTAAAATTTTTTACTTTCGTTTATAGAACAAAGCATATATTTCAAATTATGTGTGTTTTTATGACAGTCAAGTCTAGGTGAGAATCACAGTATCGAATGGTTCTGGGGAGGGTCACTGTGCCTTCTATCTAGGCCATTGAATGATGGTAGAATATGCTGGCATAACAAAGCAATAGTATATGAAGTGCTCTTCAGGACTAGTATTTGAGATGGAGACTGCTTTTAAGATGGTTTCTAAGCCAACTAATATTCTGCTTCCTCTTGTCCTATATATTTCTATTCCTTTTAGTTTCTGTTGTACCAAAGATCCTGCCTGGTAAGCCTTGAGCAGGGGAGACCACACAAAATGATGTGCCATGCGTTGGCCAGTAGATGGTGCTGATTGCAATAGAAATGACATTTAATGACATTTGTTTTACTCCAATAGGCTTTGTTCAGGAGTACATTTCTCAGAGACCATAGCACTGCACTTATCTTCATATTAATTGCACATATGATCTCTCCAAGTTATTATTGATCTATCAAGTATGGCATTTCTGTGGGACTATACGAACACATTCCTTTTTTTCTCTTGACAGGCATGTCACGTACTGCTGCTGAAATGGAACAGGGCAAGGTTGATATCTCCAGTTTCTCTTCTCCATACTCAACCAGAGAGGTCTCGCTGAAAGCAGAAGATTTCAACAAGCTTCTGAAGCTGACTAATTACAACATCATGAACAACGAGAACATGATTCTTCAGGCTTTGCGCACGGCTGTGGCACGGAAGAAACAAGCCCTGAGCCAGCCAGTATCACAAGCACAGCCCTCTGCTTGAACAGCATTTTCCTGTCCCTTACTCAGCATTTACCAAGGCAGCATACATACGATAAATACTTCACCATTCTTGACAGAGGCCATGTCTTTCTAAGTAACCTTCTCAATCTTACGCAGAATTGGGGTATTAAACTCAGCAGTTTCTCTTGTTAATACCATCTCACTCTGATGTTCAAAAGATGAAGATTCAGCTGTGTGTGATAGGGAAATAGCATTAGCTCTATTTGTCTGCACTCTCTTATGGTGACTAGTTGCTAATATTTATTTCACATGCAAAATATTTTGGCATTTCACTGGGACTATTGGTAGCAAAACCATAAAGCCCTTTTCAGACACAGAAGGTGGCGACCATGCAGTACCAATTTAAAACATTTTACTTTGTTTTAATAACCTGATTTAAGAGGCCTTCTACCTTTAAAAAGTTTTGTTTCCCCGGTGCTTATTTTTGGTCATGAATTGTTGTGAAATAAATATTTTGCAAAGCATGTTTTATTTTTCAAATTCGTGTTGAACAACAGAGCCAGTGGCCATTTAGGTGTTTCATGATACATAATCTTATCAATTAAATCAAACTTCAGAATTTGTTTTGAAGGACTACTGCTATTTCCTCTCACAACCAACTGTGTCCTGTCCCAGATCACATATAGATTCTGCAATTTTCTCCCTGAAATGCAATTTTTTTTATAGTGTATTGAACTATTAAAAAACCAGAGAGCACATGAAGGGGATTGCAGGATGCATGGTAATTGAACACTGGAAACATTAAGTAAGATACCAATTTTCTGCTCACTGCATCACAGTGTATCCCATACTCAAATACACCTGAGGCCAAGAAAGGTCCAGCAGAGAGAAATGTGGAGCTTCTGTTTTTGGCGTGAATTCTTCCTCAGATGTGAGTAACTGGAGAGAGAGAGGTATTCTTTTTGAGATCTGGAGCTGGTGAAGAAGTTGGGTTTTGCTGGTTTTAGGTAAAAGTCACACAGGAGCATTGTGAAAGAAAGGCAGATGCTGGCATCTAGGAGTTTGTCAAGGGTCAGCCAAGATGAGCCTTACAGAAGCCCTCAGAGGCTGGCCTAAAACAAGTAGGCAAGAGCTGTAGCAGAGTTTCTCCTTTCCACAAATAAGGTACATAGACAATTTCTGCCTTATATTCTAAAATCCTGCTTACTGTTTTATCTGAGCAGCCACTCATGAGCTCAAACTAAGGTACCTGAACTGTCACATTGGGTATCATGACCGACTCCTTAATACCTGACAGGGAGGGTATCATTATACTTGTCAAAGTCCTCCTGTGACTGTAAAGTTCTGGGCATTCCATCAGCTTTGTAAAGTCTCCAGGCTCTGAGGAGCTCTGGTGCAGATTCTATTCTCAACTGTTGTTCCTTGTTGGGAATATTTTTGTAAGGTTTGGATACTCTGACGTTGCCTGTGAGCTTTTTGATAGGAATGGTGAGCACCTGCTCCTTCCTGGTTTTACCAGCATCAGACTGGTTGGAAAACATGTATTCCTGAGACAATGGAAACAACTCTGTAGATGCCTTGTACAGCCTGCTTCACCTTTTGTATGTCCCATCTCAGAATTTGTGATGCACTCTAAAATCTCAGATGATCTGAAGCAAACCAGAAATGGTAGCTTCTCAGCCACTGGCATGGTGTTTAATATGTTCACATGAGATGTTTTGTCCCAAGGGCCTGTTCTGGTACTATTACTAGATTTTATTCAAGCAGAAGCACTTGACAGCCAATATCTGGGATGGGCTGTCTCCAGCTCCATGCCCTGCAGCATTTGCTGTGGAGGAGATTCCAGCAGACAGAACCCTTGGGTAGGAGAGGTGACAGAGGCCTAGAGACTGGCCTACTGTTTTCCTTCCTTGTACTAAGTTGAGGTAATACATTTTTCATGGGTAAAACACCTTTATTTTGTATACTACCATTATTAATATTTCTTCTGTTACTATGTGTTTCTTATCACATTGTTTTTTGCTTTCAGTAAATTGTTATATCAACCCATATATCTCTCCTTTTGTCCTTCCCTTACCAGATGGGAGGGGTGAGAGGGGGTGGCTTATTTAGAGTTTACTTTCTGGCTGGTGTTACACCACCACAGGGTGGTCCAGTCATTCCCTACCTCAGCTGAACACTCCTGTGTTGTCCAGTTTGGCCAGGTTTTGGTAGCAGAGGCTTACAAGGGTGGCCTATGTGAGAAGATGCCAGCAGCTCCCCCCATCTCCAACAGAGTCTATGCCAGCTGGCTCCAAGGCTCGCCCCCCTGGCCAAGGCCGAGCCCATCAGCGGCAGCTGTGCTGCCTCCAGGATAATGTATATAAAAACGGGGAAAAACCTGTGCTACATCGATTGAAGTGGGAGAGGAGAGTGAGAAAGTGTAAGAGACGGGCCTGCAGATGCGAAGGTCAGTGAAGGAGGAGGTGCTCCAGACTTTGGAGCAGAGATTCCCCTGATGCCTGTGCTAAACAATTGTTAAATAACTATTTAAGTGGCTGTTAAATGACCATGGTGAGGCAGGTTCTCCCTCTCAGCCCTCGCTGGCCCATGGTGGAGCAGATATTCACCTACAATCCTTGGAGAACCCCACATGGAGCAAGTGGGTGCCTGAGGGAGGATGTGACACTGTGGGAAGCCTGTGAAGGAGCAGGTTCTGGCAGGACCTCTGAGCCCACGGAAAAAGGAGTCCACACTGGAGCAGGTTTGCTGGCAGGGAGCCACTCTGGAGGGGTGTGTTTCTGCAGGACTGCACCCCAATGGAAAGGACCCATGCTGAAGCAGTTTGTGATGAACTGGGAAGGATGCAGGCTGGAGAAGTTCATGGAGGACTGTTTTCTGTGGGAAAGACCCCACACTGGAGAAAGTGAAGCTTCTGGGGCTGGAGGAAGTACTGAAAATCAGGAGTAAAATTAAACCCAAGAAGAAGGGATGGATGGGGGAAAGGTCTTATGATTTGTCATCCTACTCTGATTTGATTTGTAATAAATTTGGCTGATTTCCTCAAGTTGAGTCTGGTTTGCCATGATGACAATTGGTGAGTGATCTCTCCCTGCCCTTCTCTGAATCCACTTGCCTTTCATTAAGTTTTCCCTTCCCTGTCCAGCTGAAAGGGGTGTGGTGTGTATGATAAAGTGGCTTTGGTGGGCACCTGCTATCCAGCCAAAATCAAACCTCCACGCCTTCTCAGTGTTGCTTGGTTGTGTTTTGTTGAGGGTTTGGGGTTTTTTTGGTTGTGGCATTATCGGATGGGGTTTTGTGTGCTTTTTTTGTTTTGTGTTGCTTTGTGTGTGTGTGTTTGTGGATTTATTTTTTTTTTGTAGGGGGGAGGGATTTACCTAAGGGGAAAACATCTTTTTCCATTGTCTAGTCATAGGACAGGTGCTTCTGTCTTCTCATCATCTTTGTGTCCTTCCTCTGACTCACATTAACAGGTTTATATCTTTCTAGTGCTGGGGGCTCTAGAGCTGTACACAGCACTGCAGGTGGGGTCTCACAAGAGCAGAGGGGCAGAATCCTCATCTTCAACCTGTTGGCCACACTTCTTTTGAAGCTTTTGCATCTCTTTAATTGAAAGGTTATTGAGGGCAGATTCCTAATCCTAAAACAGTTGCTTACTTAAGTAATTTTCATTCAGAGAAAAGTTGTAAGGCCAGAAATTACTCTCTTTATTGTGTATTTTCATGATGTATGAGGGTGGAAGGGGAAGACAGGTTGTGGCTGCTCCGAGCATATAAATTATCACTTCCTGCAGTTCTGAAGAGGTGGTTTCATATCAGACATCTGGGCACATTAGTAGCTGGACCCATACAGTGGCTATTAATCTGCTGCTGCACAATTTTCTGTCAGAAATTTGAAAACTTCGGTGTAATTTTTGCTTTACAATTGGATGACACTGCACTGTGTTTAAAATACCAAGATGTTAACATTTAAAATGAATCAACATATGCCTTTATTTTCAGAATTTGAGGGGTTTTTTTTTGTCTTGGTTTACTCTGAAGTTTTGTGTTTGTGGAAGGCTTCAGATAGCAGGAAAATTCATATCCCACTAACAAATATACAAGTTAAATTAGGGAAACATTGGAGAGACAGTAACTTCAGCCCCTCTATCTCCCAGAAAAGGAAAATGAATACAATTTGAAGAAAAGGCCTTCTAATTAATTTAATAATAATAATAATAATTCTAATACTTTTGTTTGCTGATTGGACTGCTGTATGTCTACATGTAGCTACTATTACCTTTGGTTTGTTTATTGCCGAGGCTGCTAGAACATCCCATGCATAAGTGCTGTGCGTTATCAACCCCATATCTTGAATTGCTGATAACTCTTGGCACCTTGGTGTGTACAGCCTTCCCCAAACACATACCTCTGGGATTTAGCTATCAAATAAACCCAGCAAACTCCCTGCCCTTTTCTCTTCATACTTTCCCCTTCATGCAATGAGGAAGGTGGGGCTTGGATAAACCACTTGCTCCTCAGCAGGTGCCTCCTTAAATTTTGCAGAGGTAGTTTGTGAATCACAGTGGTTGCCTCTAACAGTGAAGTGACAATCTATCTCTGATTTGTATGCAGCTGGGGGCACGATGGGCTCATACTGGAGTGCTTGTGAGGTAAGGGTGTGAAAGCTCTAGGAGCTGGGGTGGGCTTGTGGCTGGGATTCTGGTTGGGAAAAGAGGTCTTGTGAACTTTTATTTCTAATTTCATGTATGTTTTTACCTATTTATGTAAGGATGGTTTATACCTTTGCTGGTATTAGTTACCCTGTGGAGGCACTCTTGGTAGTGAAGTTCACAGTAGGTAATTCGCATGGAGGCTGGGAACCATTCTGAAGTGCCTCACAGGAGCTTTCTGTGAATTTGGGATGAATCTGTGATTTGACTCAAACATTATAAAAGCTGTACCCTTCCACAGTGCATCTGCCAGCTATGACTATAAACATATATGGTGCCCAGGTAGCTGTGCTAGCAGCCACCTGGCAGTGATACACACAGGAAGGTCACCGCCTAAAAACAGTGATTAATAATGATGGTCTTAGTTTTATATTTGTGCATGACTGATGCACAAAAAAAAT